GGACGGACGGACGGAGGGACGGACGGAGGGACGGAGGGAGGGAGGGACGGACGGAGGGACAGAGGGACGGACGGAGGGATGGAGGGACGGAGGGACGGAGGGACGGAGGGATGGACGGATGGACGGATGGACGGACGGACGGACGGACGGACGGATGGACGGACGGATGGACGGACGGATAGACGGACGGATGGATGGATGGATATGGATGGATGGATGGATTGATCGATCGATCGATCAATCGATTGATTGATTGATTGCGGGCATTCTTTCTTTTCTGGTCCTGAGAAGCCAAAGTGAAACAAAACAGAGGAGTAAAGAGGAGGAAAACAAGGCGTATGGGGCCTCCCGGGAAGGGGGGGGCCAACATTCATTCCCTCTGATGGCTGCAGGGACACAACAAAGATAAGTTTTATTCGCAGGGGTCCCCTGTATAAGCTTTAGGAGTAGTGGTAGGCAGGCCTCACTCCACTGCACAAAACCACATGCATTCTTTAGCTTTCTGACCCGGGTGCAAACAAGTCCAACATTATGAATGTATCAGGTCATGTAGTCTGGGCCTCGCTCCACTACTAAGCAAACCTGCAAAACGAGAACGAATCTTTCCTTTCACTAGAACGAGGGAAGATACACCACCATATTTTTCGTATGTTGCGCCTGCGGTGAGCAGGGACATTGCTCGCTTTCAGTCACGTGGGCTAGGTAACGGCCAGACACCAGAAAGAAGAAAAAAAAAGGGGTTATTTCGGCGCAGTCAGTTCAGTCACGTGGGCTAGGTAACGGCCAGACACCAGAAAGAAAAAAAAAGAAGGGTTACTTCGGCGCAGTTACGAAAATAGTTTGTAATTGCATTCGAAACACCGATTTCGCACTTTAGTCAGGGGCCGAGTTTCAATTGCAGTTGAAACTGGGTGGTATTCGGTTCAGTCAGTCAGGGCCCTGGTCTATCCACGAACAGCAGCTTCAAAAAAAAAAAAAAAAAGCATCCCTTATGCTGTGATTGCGGTCCGATACACGATGCAACAGTACCTGTCTGGAACTGAAAGAAGAGAGGCAGTTAGCTGCCTCGCCTGAAATCCGCCCTGCCTGGCTGGCAGGGCGCTACAAGGACCTCACAACAAAATGCAAACAAAGGAAACGACATGTCTCACGGTCCTCACATACTGGCCAAGAACATTCCTTAAAGCACTGGTGTAACTTCCACCTAAGTGGATTCCTAGTTCCTCATTTCTTTTGTTTTTTTTTTTCTATTTTTCTTTCCTTTTCCTGTTTGGCCTCCACGATGCCTCTAAATTGTGTAGGGCGGCCCCTCCACGCCCCGCCACGCGACATCTGGGCCGTGGCGAATCTGTGGTGTGGCCGAGACATCTCCGCTGTGGCCAGTCTCTGCCGTGGCCAGTCTGGGGTGTGGCCGAGACATCTCCGTCGTGGCCCAACCATGGGGCTGGTGTTTTTTTTTTCTTTTTCTTTTTTTTCTTTTTTTTTTCCCAACCGCAGTGCAACGCGCGGTGCGGCGCGTGACCGAAAAAAAAGACAAAAAAAAAAACAAAAACAAAAAAAAAACAAAAAAACGAACAAAGAAAGAAACGGCCGTGGCGCAGCGCGCACGCCGAAAAAAGAAAAAGGAAAAACGGAACGGCCATGTGCCTGACTGAACTGCTAGAAAAAGCCAGCCCGAGTTTCAAACTGCTAAAACGCAGTTTCAAATGCAATTACAAACTGTAACCTTGACTGCGCCGTAGTTTAAAAAAAAAAATGGAATCGAAAACCAAAAGAGAAGACCAACCACAAAAAGAACAAATAAAACACTTCAAAAACGGCCCAGCCAGACCCACTTGGACAACAAAAGACGACACACTTGGTTAACAAAAAAAACCGTTCCCGTTTCACCGCCACTCTCTGGACAAAAAAATGAAAACACACTCTCTGGACCAAACACACAATATTCAGAATGTCTCCAAACTTCAGTGACGTCTATATACACCACAATTTTTTTTTTTTTTTTTTTTTTTTTTTTTTTTTTTAAGGCCCTTGTGCAATACCTCTATCCTGGTGGTGGTAAGAGAACCACCAAGATTGAGGTTTTGCCTGGCGGGCCGCTCCGTCTATTGGTGGGGAGCAGCACCTGCTGGAAACCGGGTCCAGCGTCCCTTAAATACATCTTTGCAAAGCAATACATCCACAACACTACTTCTTCTAGCCAACGATTCTACAGAACGATTCTACAGAATCTGTGCAGAATAGTGCAAATCGGCCCATACAAATACAGTTACAGTTACACAAAGAAAAAGGAAAAGGAAAAAAAAAAAACCAGCAGAAAGCAAACACAATGCGACGGACACTGGCAGGGGAAGCCAACCACATGCACTGAAAACACACACCATGTCAACATCGCCCCCCCAAACCCAGATTACTGGATAGACCGGTCGGGGCATTGGAACAATTTGAAAAAGAAAAAATGGTGGAAGTATTGTCCACATGTGCGAGATGTAGCTGGGGTTGGGAGAACAGCACACATTTATGGCTATGTTGCCCACTATCGGACACAGTTTTGGATTGGTGGAAGGAAAGATGGAAGGAAGTGGGGCTGGAGGTGGAGGTACGGACGGATAATTTCAGTCTACAGGGGCTGCCCTCAGTTTTTTTTTAAGAAGGAAACAGCCTGAGCGGCTACTAGGGGTGCTGATATGATCAGACACCACTAGTAGTGCCGGGGAGGTTCCGTCTATTGATGGGGAGCAACACCTGCTGGAAATCGGGTCCAGCGTCCCTGTAAGTGGTAATTTCTCAGTTGGCATCTGGTACATGGCTTTCGTCTGCAGAGGAATTGTTATGGAAGCCCTTTGGGCCAT